AGGCACAGGTGAAAGGGGAGGTGGATAAGCTGGACCTGCTTGTTGGGGCACTTCAGTATATTTGTGGGCTGATGCCAAAGATATTATATATGTTAATTTGTGGGATATTTAATTTTCAAAGGTACCGATCAATGCATTTGTTGTTCGAGCAGAATTTGTTAGACTCGAGGAAATTGAAGGATGCTCCATTAAGGTGGGGTGAGAGACTTGCCTGGAACTTTGTTGTCTGCATACGACCAAAAGCTGCTGAGCCTGGGTCTGCCTTTCTCAAGTTTCTGTCCACTCACTTCTCCTGTAGGCTCCCTCCCCAGAGCCGTCTTTATGTTGCTTGTCCTCTGCAGGATCTCTTCTCCACTGTTTGCAGGTGGTGAGTGAATTTGCAGAGGAAAGCTGTGGTGCCTCCTGGAAATCAGGGAAGTGCAGACACTTCACTGATCATGTAGGAAAATGCCATCCAAAGCCAGAGAAGCTGGGAAGAAGTGGAAATGAAGATGACAACTTTGTCTCCATCACTTGCAAATCTAAGAAAGGCACTGATGCTGCAGCTTTCACCTGCAGGTTCCCAGATGCCAGGAAAGCAAATAATGCAGAGCATGGGTCTAGGAGTGGAGTAGTTTGAGTGCAGGGGGGATCACTCATCTGGCTAACATAGCCCTGGCACACGGGAGAACTTGCCTTCCATGGCACACATTCAGTCTTGGCCACCCTTACCACTTCTTCCAGCCTTTGCTCCTGCTTTATCAAACATACCCACAGAGCAAGTGGGAGCCATGGAGGGAATGATGTCACTAGTAACACTGCAGCTGATTTTGGGCTGCTTCTCAGGCTGTGATGTTAATTTGGGTGATGTTTTTCCAGATAATGTCAGCAAGGCTTTGCTTGCTGTCATCTCATTTTTATAAGGGAATTTGTGCAAGGATTTGAGAGTATATAGTTGAGCAAAATCAGGAAAAGATACCTCTCTATCTTTTATGTGGAAGAACATTGCAAGGGACGTCCTTTTTCCATGATACTTGCCCAAAGGCTACAGTATTTCTGGGGCTGATATCATCCTATAAGCAAAAATGATGTGGCCTGTTTGTTTCCACATCTGCCACCTTGCAGGTGGGAAGAGGGCTGTGAGTGACATTTTGTTGGTGGTAAACTTGTTATACTAGGCATGTCAAGGTACATATGGAGGAAACCAGCAGTCATGCCTGGCTTGCAAGCATTCATGTGAGTCTTGGCACTTTGGGGTAATTTGTTGAGTTATGTTGGGATAGAAATTTTGATTAAGAAGGGGCTGCAGTGGATTCCGAAGTGGGAAGATAGATGTAGCAAATGTCTCACAAGGAGCTGCTTAGTAGGCCTGTTTGGTGGAGTTATATATAGATTTTACTCTCTGTGGGTCCTGCTGGTGTAACAGTAAGTTGCACAACTGGCTCCTAAGAGAGCTCTTTGTCTAGAGATTTGTTGCTTCTTTTTGATCAGACCGTCCAAGGAAGTGCTGAATAATCCCTATTCTGCTTGCACAAGGGCAGATACCCAGAGCATAACTTTCTTTTGTCTCTCCAATTAAAGAGAATGGAAGTTTCCAGTCCTGTAAGCAGAATGAGAATACCTTCAAATAAAACTATTCCCTGTAATGCTTTAGTATATGTAATAGGACCCCAAAGTTGCCAAATCATTCCCGAAGCTGCTTTTTACCAAGCAAGGAGGCTGTTCAAGTGCCTTTATTTATCCGTCTGGAGAGATTTTTGACCCCCTGCCTGCTTTGCTGTGGTGCTGCTTCTTTCCGCAGCTGGGCTGGGCTGAAGCTCATACAGCTTGTTAAATAGCCAAGAAGTTCTAAATGGAAATGAATTGAGTGTTTCTAATTTGCATGTCTCTTGAGAGAAGCAATTAGATTTTTTTCCTTTTTGCTTAGTTTCTGATTGTTTCATCAGTTATGTCTTTGAAAAGCACACACAGATTAAAACTTGGGGCAACAGTCATATACATTATTAGAAATTAATGTTACAGAAATTCATACCATTTTCTGTGTTGTGCTTGGGAAAATACGGGGGGGGGGGGGAGAAGCTTTAATGTTTTATACACAAAATGTTTCGTATTTGCTTGAATTCTCAGGCAGGTTATAAGTAGTCAATTCCTAGAAGGGAGACAACTTCAATGAAGTAAGAAATGAAGAATGATGCAACAAATGGAGATAATGTTGACTTGTTTTCTGTCTCACTGATAGATATCTAGGTGAAACATGGAGGTGTTACATGCTGTCAGTGCTATTTTTGCTGTTAGTAACACAAGTTTTCTGTCTTTCCACTGACCTTTCTATTGCTCATTTTTAATGAGAAAGAACTGGTTTTCCTGCCAAAATGTCTTCACTGGAACTAGTTGTGTATCAGGCCAGAATGGTTTATAGTAGTTCGTGTTCACAGAAGCTCCTCTTTCTGCCTTTTATTTTATGCAGACCCCTTCTTGCTGCTACTCTTTCTTCAGTAAATGTATTTCCCCACTTGTTTTGGTCTTTCAGGCATGTTTTCACCTCTTTTTTTTACTGAAGATACACATGGTAAGGGTGAAAAGATGGGAATTTAAAAATCATCCTGCAGAAGGAGAATATTAAATGCTTTTATCCAACTCAACAAAACCCACAAAAAATACTTCTAGAAATTAAGATGTGCAATTAACTAATCAGAGATAATAACAGTCTCTCCTATGCTGCAGTAGAGCAGAGACACAAATACAGTGACAGCCAAGGTTAACCTGTAATCACCTGTATTTTCCCTGAGATTGTATATACTTCTCCTGCCAGGCCAACATTAACTGAATCAGTTCCGAAGCTCTCACATTAACAGATTCACCCAAATCTGTGTGCACAGAAAAGATGAAATGCTGAATCTGGGTGCTCTGATTTGGGCACGGCACAAAGTCTCTCCTGAGCGGCAGCTCAACAGACAAAGCAGCCTTGGATAATGCTTGGATGCCACCATGCTTGCGGGAAGGCCGAGCCCCTCATGTCATTTTGCTGTGCACTCGCAGACTTTGTCATTTAACGTGTCCTTCTCCTGACGCCCTCCAGGGGACGCGGCGTAGCCTGCGTCATGGCTAGGCAACGGCTGCGGGAGGGTTCCCTGCACCAGGATACTCTTCTCCAGCGGATAATGTGTTCAGGCTTGTTTGCCTGTTCTTCCAAGCATGCTATATTGGTTTTACAGCAGGAACTTAATCTGCAGCTGGACAATCAAATAACCAATCTAAGGAAAGGCACGAAATGAAAGATGCTAAAAGGTGACTGGGGTATTATTTAGCCCAAATGTAATAGCGTGGGTTTAACTGGAATTCTGCTGAGGATCAGTTGATTTAATAGCACTGTAATGGCTTGAGGAGTTGGGTGAACAGGTGCTGCTTGCCTCCTTCCAGCCCCATTCCTTCACACTGTATCTGTTCCTCCTTCCCTAAGCTGTGCCCTGTTCTTCCTCCAGCAAGACTGGAGGAACCCCATTTATTCCACTGTATTTCCTTTCACCTCTCCTTTGAGGCTTCACATGTTTTATTTTAAGAGTCCCTGTCCTACCTATCTCGGGGAGCTTTGCAAGCTCCTGCCATCTTTTTTTCCTTTTTCCATCAAGGGGCGTCTTTCAGGGCACCAACATTTTAAACTTCAATGGAATGAAAGATAGAGATGAAATGGGAGTATTTTTATGGTGAAGGACATGCATGGTTGCTGGTGATTGTGATGAACAGCTGCAAAGAGATACCCACAACTCCCATGCTCAAAGCAGGCTGTGCATGTTGGACCTAGACAGAGTGCTTGCTCTTCTAGGCATGAAGAGAAATTAGTTCTCTCCTTCTAGAAAAGAGGTAGCACTGTTTTCATGGCTGTTCTTGTAGCCCTGGGCTGGATTCATAGATATATGGGTAGGGATCAGGAGAAAGTGGTCAGAGGACAAGTATCATGCTCCATCAGGCAACGCATCCCCAGGTGCAAATTTGCACATCCATGGGGAACATTTCTTCCTTTGCCACTAGCTGACAGGCCATGCCAAGGGTGTACTGTGATTTCCTTCCACCTGTCCAGGCTGTTGCCTGTCCTCTGCTTCAGCAATATTCTGGGATGTGGGCTTTTCCAGTGGTGAAAAATTAGAGAATTAGGGGCACTGCTGTAAGGCATGGACTTCTGATCCCCTCACCTGTTGATCTTTATCTAGCAGTAGACTCTGAGTTTCTTCTAACCTTTCTGGCATTTTGGCCACCCAGCTGGATGCCAGCATACAGCATCGCTTTTTTAAGCCATTATTATCTTCCAGAGGTGATTTTTCAACTTGTTTTTTTTTTGTTGTTGTTGTTGTTGAAACCCCTTCCTTCTCTCCCTCTGCTTATATTCACATGTGATTCCTTGCCTGGATCATGCCTTTTACCCTAGGTGCCATGCAGCTTGGCCAAATGTCCCTATTTCAATCTTTCCCCCTCTCTGTGCCTTGGCAGGGGAGAAACCAGCTTGCCTGTCACGTCTGTGTCTGTAGGCACCATGCCATAGCTGAACCCAAACTCGAAAGGCAAGTCCCAGATAGTGAATTTCAAGGGACGTTTAGATACGCATCGTTAAGCCATCGGGCTGGGAGCTTTTGTCATTGCCTGTTAGCCCCTCGGTCGGGAGATGACTCGTCCTTTGCGGGGGCTGAGCCCCGCACTGTCACGATGCTCCCCGGGACTTGCGCCCATTCCCTCGGAGTCGGGCCCCCTTACCCGCCCGGGGGTTGCCGGCCTCCCTTCGCTGCTGACCGGGGCAGAGGAGGAGGTGGCAGGGGCGGGCGCAGGGCGAAAGGGGCTGGCCCAGGGACTCGCTACGTGTCGCGGGAGCCCTTATAGGCCCGGCGCAGCGCGGCCCCGCCGCCCGTCACCATGTCGAGCCGACAGCAGACGGTAGGACGGGGCCGGCGGGCGGGGGGCTGCGGCTGCTGTGGGGCGCTTCCAGCTCCCTGCGAAGACAAACCCATTCCTCACGCTCCTGACATTGCCGCTTTCCCTGCAGGGTTGCGGGCTCTCGCCGAGGCGGGCAGTGCTGGGCAGACGTGGACTCCCCAGGGGGATCGACCCCTGCGGGTCCCGTCGGCGGCTGGCGAGCGCCTTCTGCTCAGCGGCGGGGCCGGACCCATCGTTCTCCTGCCGGGGTGCACCGATTCCCTCGCAGGAGGACGTTAAATCCGCCGCGTTACGGTGCAGGGCGCTGAGGGTGAATGCTGTCGCCGGGCGTCGGTCCGCGCTGGTGTAGATGTGCGAGCGGTGCCTGCCCCGGGCACAGCCCGGCTGCCCGCAGGTGAGCCGCGCACCGCCCCGCCGCACCCGGCAAGCGCGGTAGCGGTGCCCGGCGCAGCCGGTCCTCCCGGGGAGCGGCGCCCCGGCAGCCTCCAGGGCGAGGCCGAAGGCTGAGTCAGCGAGAAGCTTGTCGGGTTTCTGCCCAGGTCCCACCCGGGGGGAGACGCTGGTGAGACAGCCGCCACCAGCACCCGGCGGCTGCCAGCGCTGCAGCAGGAGCCAGCGTGTTCCACAGAAAAGCTGCACAGCAAAGACAAATAGCAATATCCAGAGCGTAGTTCAGCTGGAAATGAAAACTGCAAATCGCAGGCACAGCCAGAAATCGTTTTCCTCTTGCTAGCTGCCCTCTCTCACGTCTTGGATGTGGGATGTGAGGTCTGGGTCCTTCTGGCTGCATGTACACTTTCCAGGGTTTAGATCAGAACCGTAAGAAATCTTGATGCAACTCCTTTGGGCTGCTTTGCTGGTCCATTTATTTATTTATTTTGTCGTAAACTTTTCAGATGGATCTAGTGCATTTTGAGCACACTGGTAATCTGTCTGGGTAGGAATGCAACCAAAGCCACGCTTAACAAAGCACGCCTGTGTGGCAGGGTGTTCTTGGAAACATGAAAACCTGTGGTTTAGGGATTATTTCTGTGAGGGGATGCAAGACTTGAGCTGTGTAGGGGGATTTTACTTATTGCTGTGATAGGAAGGAGGCATTAGTGAACTTCCAGAATAATCCCTCTCCTTTGCCTCCACCCTGGGCTGAAAAAATGACCTTTATAAGCAGGATTGTGGCAGACCTTTGTACTGAGACTGTCAAAACAGATGCTATCTGGTTGACAGTTGTAGGCTTATTTTCATGGGCTTATCTGCTAGGTAGCTGATAGAATGGGAAAAGGTATGACTTCACTAATCACAAGATGTTTTGATAATTATGATGAAATGGCAGTGATACTCCGTTAATGATCCTCCTGGTCTATGGCTAGGGACATGTGTTGAACGGAGCATAGGTGAAGTTTTTGCTCCTAACACAGTCCCAGTGTCTCAGCTTTACCTGTCTCAAGTTGATACCAAAGGACTGGGATAAGCATTTCACTTTGATAGGGGTCCCTTGATCAGCTCAGTTATTAGCATACACAAACAGACAATTGCATTTGGTCTCCGTGCAATTACACGGTGTGGTTCAGGAGGGTTGAGGCATTGGCAGTGCATTAGAGATTCTGCCTAACGAAGGAGCAGGTGACAGCACGATGTGCTCCCACAAGTAGCAGTCTGAATGTTGTAGCTTAGAGGAGTTTTAATATGGTGGTGAGTTTTTCATGACACGTTTTGTAGCTGCAACGGCCAAGACGGTGCCAGTGAAGATGGGGTGCACGGAATAATTTGCCCTACTGAGATCCCTGTTAGAACCACAGCTTGTCCTTCTGATGCTCCTTACTTAATCCCCATTTTTCATTCTCCCAGTAGCATGAACTGTTATGACTCATAAAAATCCTTATTACTAATGAAATGTCAGGGCTTACCACTTCTCCATAATGTGGGTGATGTGTGAATTTTTCTCCCACAGACAAGGTTTTGTGGGGATGGTTGCTTCCAGCATTGTTCTCTGTCCTAGACTATGTCCAAAATGGGTTTTGCTGGTGATGTTTGTTAGCTGTCAGCTTTTCAAGGGTGCAGTAGTGGGAGCTGTTACAAGATGGACTGGTTGTGTTATTTGACAGTGCTCCTTGTTTTGGATATTGAGTAATTGTACATGAATTCGGTCTGCATGTTCTCTGGAGTTTGTGGGTGGTTTGAGGATATTTTAACCGCACGTCCATTTATTAATAGAAGCTTATGGTAAGGTACAAAGAAGAAAAGTGATTTTTTTTTTTACTTCTGCATGTGTTGTCCTTGAAAATGAACAAGGCACCTTAATTCTGCTGAAGACCCAAGACTTGTGTGCAGGAATCTTTGGCTGGTTAGTATGGAAATGCTCCCTTCATTTCTGCTCATGGTGTTGCAAGAAGTGCAAGTGCTGGAAAGCGTCCTTCAGTTCACAGACCTCACTAATAGCATTGATTTCTGACCAGTTTCAGGGCTGACTTCTGGGGGACAAGAACAGTCTTTAAGGATGACCTTAAAGACTTAATGTTCTTTAGACAGGCCTCCTGTGTGCCCCAGTCGTGAAATCCTGCTCTCACGAGTAAGTACACTGTAAAGTAATTGCAGTGAGTAGCACGGAGCTGTGGGACTGCCCTTGTTTTTTGTGTGGGCTCCTGCACAGCGCCGCATTCAGGGCTGAGCAGTCCTTTTAGCCCTGTCAAAACAGCAGTTTGTTCTCTCTGCATCTGAGGTGTCACTGGTATTTCCGTAGCTCGTTACTTCTCCCCACTGAGCTGCGTTTTCATACCAAGCAGGAGCATACAGAAGGAGCAGTGTGCTCAGTGGAAGCGGCTTGCCATGGAGCACAAGCCTATGGGCATGGCCCTGCCCTGGAAGGGCTGGCCCCTCACCAGAGCGACTGGCTGTGTGGCTTGCATGTCCCTGTGGGTGCATAGAAAATGCAGCTCAATGCATGTTGTGAGGTGGAGGTGTTCAGAGCTGGCTGCCAGAGTCCGGCCCCTGGCAGTGGGCGAACATCATCCTCACTGGCTGCTTCCAGTGAGCTTCTCTTAGTGGAGGGAAGGGGTGCTTAGGGGAGGAAGAAAGCCCAGTACTGAAGCTGCCCTTTTTGGGGTGTTACAGGTTTGTCATCTGTCTGGCCTTGTGAAAGTATTTCCAGGACTCTGAACCACATGGCATGTGGCATCCCTTGCTTTCACTGGGATGTTGTTTCCATAGCTCAGGGGATCACAAAATGGTAACTTCTGATAGTTCCGTTTTGCTTGTGTAGAGTTTATGTGCACAGTCACAAATTATGTGGTCTGATTTAAAGATAAATTAACATGTACAAATAATTTAATTTTTTTTTTAATTAAAGAGAAAAAAACCCTACAGATGACTACCCTGAGAAAATAGGAAAAGGCTTAGTTTTTTTGCCTAAAAGCTATTCTCATGTTGAAAAACTGCAGGCACAGGGTGGACCAAGTGATATCACAGGCTGTGCAGTAACATATGTATAGCTTCATAAATTTAATTGCAAAGCAATGTAAAATAAAAAATTCACTTAAAAAAACCCTAAACAAACATGCATTCATGTCCTCTCACACTTATTCTTTACTTATGTTTTGCACATAAAGACCAAAACATGTTTAGGGACGTTTATGTTCAGAGCAGTTCAGCTCACAGGCAGCTACATCAGGCAGCAGAGCTGTGATTTCAGGGAATTAGTGTGGCTTGGTCTGGGTTGAATTACTCAAGACAGTGTTTCTGATGTTTTATCCAGTGATTCAAAAGTCTCGCATTTACAGCTGTGAGTTATTTTGTGAAACACAGTGCCTAACTCATTGCACTGTGACAGTAAAGGGTGATTGGTTTCTAGTTGCTCATTGCATACTTAGTATACTGGTATATTTGGTATATTTTCTATCACTTTTTTTGCTTTATATCTCTCTTTTTCAAAGATCACAGAAAGGTGAGCAGATTAACTATCTTAATACACAGTTATTTCAACTTCTTTTGTTTCCTATAGCTCTCTCCCTTCTTCTCCCTGTTTCTTCTGGAGTCCTTTGCTATTAAAAAGTTACCTTTCCAGTCTGTTGCCCCACCTTGCTGTTTCCTTCACTTGCACTGTTTTGCGGGGCTGCCAGTTGCCAGACCCATGTTTATTAAACATACTCTGCAAGAACCAGGGTGTTCCATTTGGGGAATTTCAGTGAAAAAAAAGCCAGAAAAAGTTGCAGGCTCCTAAATATTAATGCCTCTTTATTTCTGTGGTTCAGAGAGGCTGAGCCCTTCAGAGGATGTGGAACAAAATAATCAACTTGGTGTGGTCCAGCCCCAGAAGCTGCAAGCTGAGGACCCTGGTGGACCTTCCTGAAGTGCAGGGAGGCTTGTTCTGGTGTCCCCTGGTACTGCCATGGCAGCAGGAGAAATAGGGCAAGTTTCCCAGGAAGCTGCATGGTCAGAGCATCTCCTGGGGCTGTAGGAGGGTGTGTACACGGAGAAGTGGAAGGAAACTTCGAAGGGTTTTTCTCCTTGTCTTCTCAGGAGACAGGCAGGTAGGTCAGGCCTGATGCCTGCTCATGTGCTCGGAGGTTAATCTTCTGCTTTCCCAACAGGACTAGCGGCTCTTCACAGGATTTCTTCCTCTCCCAGGGCCTGGTTTGGAGAGGTGCAGCTGAGCACCACTGGTGATGGTGGTCGGCATGGTGGGTGCCATCTGGGGTAGTGGCCAGGGCACCTAAACCCAACTGTGATTTTTCCAGCTCTTGAGTCAAAGCGCTTTGAGTCAGCATGTTGTTTCCTGTCCTGCCGCTGGACTCCTGGATAAATACAGACTCCAGCCTCGTCTGGTTTTCAGGTTGCACTGATGAAGTCACACAAATCTGTGCCAAACCCCGTAACTCAGGCATAGGTTTCTATCCATGCTGTCTTTGGGCAGCATCAACAAGTGGTTTTAGGCGAGACAGCGAATGATTTTGAAGACCCAATGCTAACCCAGACATGTGCACTGCAGCTGAAACTTAGGTTGACGCCACAGGGATTTTGTTTTTCTGGAGAGTTTTCAAGATAAGCAGTGGCATACTTGCATTTGTTTTTTTTACTGGTCTGATGTTGATCCTGGAGGGTGTATTTAAATAACCTTTAAAAATGAAAGGACCTTGCCTATCTGAAACCAGGTGTTTTAGATAACCTTGCAGTCGTACATGCCCACAAAAGATTAAGTGGTGTGCAGGGCATGTATTAATGGTCCTAAAGGTATGCCATGTCTTGAACTTGTACTTTGATCACAGTGCTTGTACACTTTAGTATCTTTAAAGTCCATTAAGAGAAATGCCATGTAATTCAGGTTGCTGTTTATTAATTTACTATTATTGTGAGCAGGGTGACTAATGGTTATCTCTGATTTAACTCTGAATCAGAGCTGTA